TAACTAAACATGAGCATAAATTACTCCATAGAAAATGGCACCAACATGTCATATTGGAAGTTGTGTGTTGGTTCATTCATTTACCCCACATGCATTCATATTCTTAATAAAACCACAACATAAGACTCTTGAGCATCAACAACAATACATCATTACAATAGTATATTTTTCGTATGAAACAAACAGCATTGTCGAAATTGCAAATAACCTTTAACCATGCTTTTCAGAAGAATGATCTCTCCCACTCTATGAATCTATGTTTCATCACACTATGTTTACAGTTCTCCGGACAGGTTAAACACAGAGTAACAAAATCCCACAAGCAACTTCATAACTTCATTAATGTTTTTTCTCATAAAAATCAACGTGAAAAGTCACCTTTAGCAAAGCTTAAAAAGAGACATGGCCACACAATTATTGGCAGAAATATGCTCAGATTATTCCATTTATTTGTCAAACGTAATTTAGAGTGATGTACACATCCTCCTTCATGAATATTATGATGAATAAAATAAAAGTGCTATAATTAATAACAATTTGAATTAGAATAATGTTGATGATAACAAGATGAATTGATTTATACTGATATTTATTGTAACATTATAATTCAATAGTATGCAGTGATTCATTATCTGCATTGTTGAGCATTGAAAAGGGAAGTACAAATAATCATAAAAATATATTATATGAGATTATGATTGTTTATCAAAGATTATGTGAACAAAATAAAAATGTAATATTATTTTGGACTCCTGCTCATGTGGGTATTTTGGGGAATGAAAGAGCAGATAGGTTGGCTAAGGAGGCTATTAAAAAAGAAGATATTGATATGCCAATAAAGTTATCTAAAGCTGAAGGAAAAAGTATAGTTTGGAGAGAAAGTAAGAAGATATGGAAAAGTAGGTGGGATAATGAAATAAATGGAAGGCATTTGTATAAGATACAAAATACAGTTGAGGTAGAAAGGATTAGAGGAATATATAGGAGGGAGGAGATAATTATAAATAGAATAAGAACCGGTCACAGTTTTTTAAATGGAACTCTTTTTAAGATGGGGAAACATCTTACTGGTTTATGTAATTGGTGTGATGATGTAGAAACAATGGAACATGTTTTTATTAGTTGTAGGAAATATGTAGATCAAAGAAGAATATTAAAAAATGAATTAGGTTGTAATAGGGACTTGAAATTTAAGAATGTGGTTGAGCAGTTAAATGATACTGAGAGAAAAAAGAAGATATTTCGTTTTTTAAAAAATACTGGGATCAATATGAGAATTTGAGGTTTAGACAGTAGGATCCAATAGATGGCAGTAATACAACAATCATGGATGTAAGCTGCCGTTAAAAATCAAAGAACAAGAAGAACATTATAATTAAGCAAAACATCAATATGTTTTGAGTCATTTGCAGGTGTGGCCGCTAGAGGGCGGACACGTCACAGCGAAACAGGGAACAGATGAAACGTCACTTCCGCCCACGAAGAAGACGACAGTCAACAATCTCAAACATCTGATATTTTCTCTTCTCAGCGCGGATTTTTTCTGAATTTATTGGATTGGTGGCCGCTTTGCACCAAAGCGACGCCATGCCCGTCATTTGTGCGGCAACAGGGTGCAACAACAAGTTTGTTAAGGGGTCGGAAATAAGATTTTACAGGTAAATATTCAGCCGCGGACTAGAGGCTCCGTGGAATTTTGATTTAGCACATGTTAAAAATAAAAGATAGAAGTGTTTTGGTTCAGAGGATCTTAATTTATACCATACCATATACCATACAACATGTTAATATGTTAGACTTAATTCAGTTTGGTACAAATATCTGTCTAACCAACAGAACAATGGCTTCCGAAACATGTTTTTTAGGGAATTCAAGAAAATCAGCCATTGTCCTTATTTAAGCAATAATGTCCCAAATTGCTCAAAGTATTTAAGAAATCTGTGCAGATGTGCCCATTATTAACACAAAGAAAAGTCTGGTCTAAGCCTACATAGACTTGAAAGTTGATAATTTCATGGTGCACAGTATAAATAATGTATAATTAAGTCACAGCAGAGTAATCTATAATCATGAGGAAAGATTTAAAAAGTTACACTTCAGAGGTGGTAATTTTTAAGCATGATGGCAAAACAGATTTCATTTAGCAGTGGAGACCACTTAAACAATTTGAATGTGTAACAAGTCCAGTAAAAATATGTACATAAATGCATTAAAAACAGGATTAATCAATAACAAAACTCCCCTGTGAACACAAACCACTGGTGAATTATATTTATGTGACAGGACAGGGTTTTATCCACATCTTATTATAATATACAGGAATGTCTCAGAACATTTGAATATTGTGATAAAGTTCTTTATTTTCTGTAATGCAATTAAAAAACATGAAATGTCATACATTCTGGATTCATTACAAATCATCTGAAATATCGCAAGCCTTTTATTGTTTTAATATTGCTGATTATGGCTTACAGCTGAAGAAAACTAAAAAATCTGATATTCTAATATTTTGAGATAGGATATTTGGGTTTCTTAAGCATTACAGAAAATAAAGAACTTTATCACAATATTCTAATTTTCTGAGACAGTCCTGTACACCAAAGCAAATTCCTTCTAAGTGAAAAACCTACTTGGCAATAAACCTTATTCTGATTCTGATTCTGATCTGATTAATACTAATAATAATGTAACTAATAATGTAAATGTGTCCTTTATGT